CACACACACACACACACACACACACACACATACATACACGCATACATGCATACATACATACATACACACAGACACACGCACACACACAGACACACATACAAACATACATACATACACACACGCATACATGCATGCATACATACACGCATGCATGCACACATACATACATACACACACACACACACACACACACACACACACACACACACACACACACACACACACACACACACACACATAAATGCATACATACATACATACATACATACACACACACACACATACATACACGCATACATGCATACATACATACATACGTACATACATACACACACACACATACATACATACATACATACACACACACACATACATACACGCATACATGCATACATACATACATACATACATACATACATACATACACACACACACACACATACATACATACATACACACACACACACATACATACATACATACATACATACACATACACACACACACACATACATACATACATACATGCATACATACATACACACATATATATTAACAAAAGAACACAAAATGACATTTAAATAGGTGGAACGTAAATTATATACCTATATATTATCACCTGGTCATAAGTTTTGAGACACTTTGCTGTGACCCTCATATATTTACCTAACTGAGTTGCTGCCCATTTCTTCTGATCATTCTCGACATAGTTCTACAACTTCATTTGAATCCAGCTGTGTTTGATTACTGATTGGACCTGATTAAGAAAGCCACACACCTGTCTATATAAGACCTTACAGCTCACAATGCATGTCAGAGCAAATGACAATCATGAAGTCAAAGGAACTGCCGGAAGAACTCAGAGACAGTTGTGGCAAGGCACAGATCTGGCCATGGTTACAAAAATTTCTGATCTGTTCAGCGAAAACATCTGTTCAGCAAAATATTTGACTGCGCGATGATGTAAGCATGCACAGGCCCGATTGTAGTGTGAGTGAGGGCCGTTGGGGGAGACGGGAGGGGGGACAAGCGCGCTTTGACCCGGTTTGAGGCAACTGTACATAGTGTGAGTATGCCCTAAGGGCACAATGGCCTCCATATTCCTTAATGGAAGAAGCTTGGGATAACCAGAACCCTTCCTAGAGCTGGCTGTCCAGCCACAGCTAATATAATGAAGGAGTTGCCTCACAACAACTCCGTGACTGTGCTTGAATGGCCCAGCCAGAGACCTGACTTAAACCCAATTGAGCATCTCTGGAGAGACCTAAAAATGGCTGTCCACCAATTTTTACCATCCAACCTGACAGAACAGGAGAGGATCTGCAAGGAGGAATGACAGAGGATCCCCAAATCTAAGTGTGAAAATCTTGTTGCATTCATTTCAAAGGAGCGCTACCCTGTACTAAAATGTCAGCTCTATTAATGCTTCCCTTCCAATAGAACACAACAGGGTAGACGACATCTAATATATACATCTATGGAGTCAAAAGATGCTTCTGCTAAATACTGAGCAAAGGGTCTAAATACTTAGAACTAGGACTGCACTATTAATCGAAAAAAGATCACGATCTCGATTCTACCCTACACACGATGTTAATTCAGCTTTTCTACGATTCAGCCAATTATATTTTCAAGGTCAGGAGAGAAGAGTAAAGGCGGACGCACAAGTCTTCACAGCAACATGGACACCTTCAAATGGCATTAAAAGAGTCACATACTGTATTTATAAGTTTTAATTCACCCTGAAATTTTATTTCTGTCTAAATGTAATGATGCATTCGCGGCTACAAAATCACATGAGGCGACCGTGAGCTGTTTGACTACCGAGAACGCACGCGTGCGCGCATGCACACCAATCACGCCCAGTTTAGTGAACAGAACCTGCATATTTTGTGAATAACAAGCTATAAAGTTGTCGCATTTTACGGTTATGATTTCGGCAAGCATTTGATATGTTGTTTTCTTTCATAGCTAATGCAAAGTGTTGTGTGGGAAAATCATTTTTTAATGTGTCAGTATAGCTAGCCTGTATATTGTTAAATATAATGCAAGAAGGAATCTTGATACTGACAAATGTCTAATTTTACCAGTGAAAACTCTAATAATAATGTTAATAATAATGTCTAATAATGTTGTCAATGATGAATGACAAGCACATGTCTCAAACATAATAAATCAACTTTATAATTATGAATAGTTGTATTCTGACGTCCTCATTTTACTGTGAATCAACAAACAGGACATATTAAAAGTCTGTTTAAGTCCACCATAATGACTGTACAAAACTTTGTATTTGAAGCAACAGTAGAGCTACATATGTGCCTATTATTATTATTATTATTATTATTATTATTATTATTATACCATATGTTTGAGAATTAACAATAATAATAGCCTACCAATATTAACCTTTATTTTACATCTACAGAATTGTGAGAACTTTGTGATTTTTATTATAACCAGAATCGTGCAGCCCTACTTAGGACCATTTCAGTTTTTTTTTTTTTTTTTATTAATCTGCAAATGTCAACAATTCTTTGTTTTTTCTGTCAATATGGGGTGCTGTGTGTGTACATTAATGAGAAAATGACAGCTGGTTTCTGAAAACCAATGCTTTAAACCAGTGGTCACCAAACTTGTTCCTGGAGTGCCAGTGTTCTGCAGATAGCTCCAACTTTAATCAAATGCATCTGAACCAGCTAATCAAGGTCTTACTAGGTACACTTGAAACATCCAGGCAGGTGTGTTGATGCAAGTTGGAGCTAAACCCTACAGGGACACCGGCCCTCCAGGTCTGAGATTGGAGACCCCTACTTTAAAGTCATCATCTCAACTTTTTTACTACAATGCAGAATCTGAACTAAAATGCACAAACATACAGTGGGATGTAATGTACTACACTTTAAGAAAATATTTTGTGATTGATGTTTTTATTTGTGTGTTTATTTCTGTTTTCAAATTACATTATGGGAGCTTGATCTGTGCTTGATCTGTGTAGGAGTTGTACATTATACGCTACGAACACCTTGTAATAAACTGCAGCACATTTTCTGTTATTTTACAGACTTATTTCTCTAGATATTATTTCTTATACATTATATTATTATTTCAAGTGACTAAAATGTCAAAAAAAGTCACTTTGTTGAACTGTAGACTTGAATTTTTAACATCAAAAGTGGACAGAGCAGAGATCAACATCCCATAATGCAATTCACAACCGTAAATAAACAGAAAACACTTGTGAATCACAAAATGCAGAAACTGATATTTTTCACAGTGTAGAGTTGACATGCAGTATAGAACCCTAGTCAACAAAACCAGTCCTAATGGTCACAAGTTTTTTTTCTGGCGGAAAACAAGACAGAGGTGGTATCCTGATCATCATTTTTTTTCCCCTATAAACAAACACTTTTTGCATGAATCTAATCTCATCAAATAAAAAATGAAAGTATTTAAAAAGGCTTACATTAAACGTAGATAAAAAGGTAGAGGTGTTACAAATTTTGATGGAGGTGGCCACCTCATAATTGTCTATGCAGAAAAAAACAGGACTTTTTAAAAAAGGTTTCAACATATCACATACAGTATGGAGCAATGCACTATGCAAAAACAATTCATTAGTCAGAATGCTTGTGATGTGCATCAATCTTCTGAATGCTTGCAAAATTTAAGTTCAAATTTTGATTAAAACTAATAAAGACAAAAATAAATTACAATCAATAATACATTTGATTAAATACATGTATCAATGAATGTGCTAATATCATTTTACAGAATAATACACAATCATACAAATATTTTGACCCATTTATAATAATAATTTTCACAGTATTAATTATTTATACATCAGGGCCCGTGGCATCTAAAACACTGTAAAAGATATAGATCTCTTAATACTTATTGGATCTAGATGACCAATTTTACTGTATGACCACTGTAAAAAAAAAAAAAAATACCAATACATATTATATAGTTCATAGTACCTTCATGTTGTCTTAACACAAATCAACAGGCTAATCAGATGAATTGTTTTTTTTTTTTTACAAATGTAGGTGGATTGAACATAAAACAATTCAATTTAACCCCAAAAATAAATAAATAAAAATAAAAATAAATGTATTGTATTTAAATAAGTAGTTTAAACAGGGAGCAGTATAGTTTAACAACACAGTACAAAATAGAAATAAATTTGACTTGGTCTGACGTTATTATCGAGCAAACTTCTAACTATTAAACTTCAGTTCACCACCCACTTTTCTTCAGGTCACATGATCTTGACAGCTTTTAAAAGCATTGTGCTGTCATCCTGGTAGTCGGACTCACTAAAAAAGCTACACTTCTGCACACTGATCATCAATAATGTCAAAGAGAGAGACGGGTTTTGGAGGATGGTCAGAGGAGGAATCGGTCACCCTAGAGGTGATACAAATCTGCCTTCAGGTATGGGACACTAAACTACTTCTCTGCTGGTTACAGACGGTAATTCAATTTGTGTGTGATGTTTTTGTTGAGCTTTTCACCTGTTTAAATGTGTTTTGTTTTTCAACTATATAAAGTATACAAGTAATTTTGCAATAAATTCTGAATAATAGTCACTTTGGATTATTCATTCATTCATTTTCTTGTTGGCTTAGTCCCTTTATTAATCCGGGGTCGCCACAGCGGAATGAACCGCCAACTTATCCAGCAAGTTTTTTACGCAGTGGATGCCCTTCCAGCCGCAACCCATCACTGGAAAAAACTTTTGATTAGCTTTATTATTATTATTATTATTATTATTATTATTATTCACTAAACTGATGTGCAACTCATCTCTAATTTTTATTTTATTTTATTTACCTAAAAAGTCTAAAACCTAAACCTAAAAAACAATACTTGCATAACTGCAGCCTTTATTAATATTAGTTCATGTTTACAAATGTAGATGTGTGTAAATGTTATTAAACAGATCTATACTGTGAAGTGTTTCCCTAATGATCTTATTTTTTCTGTTTATTCAGGTGAGGAAATCCATACTTGAGAAGATTACTATCAGTTCTGATATTTTCATTCCTCTGACATTCAGATATCAGATTGTAGCAGGAAGAAACCTCTTGTTCAAGGCAAGTATTTGTATTTGTATTTTATAGATTGTGAGCGAAAGACACTTTGACTTGCGTCCCAACCCAAAAGCTGACTTAACAGATGTGATTCTCTCTGATAATTTAAATGCAATCAACTTCCAAATTGAAAGCTGTTTACTTAGGAATTTGAAAGAATAAAACTTAAACTCTTTTTACTTAAATGCAGCTGAGCTGATTTACTGTCAATGATGAAGTTTGTTCACATTAAACATGGTGATTTCTCTCTCTCTGGGCAGGTGTATGTTGGTGAAGATACATGTGCTCATGTGATGATATTCCAGGCTCTTCCCTGCAATGGAGGTAATCTGAATGTGGAAGATGTCCAGTTCCCCAAACCATTTGATGATCCTCTGATCCCTCCTAAACTATGATCATCTAGAGAATGAGTGTGTGTTATGTAGTGTAAGCGCAGACACACTGAGTGATCTGCCATACTGTATAGAGGAACTGTTCAAAACTGCTTCATTCCTCAACATTAAACTCTCAACTCAACTCCTACAGTGTCTGTGCATTTACTGTTGATATATTTTGTTGTTGTTGGTTTAATTATTATTAATTTTAAAACCATATATACAAACTAGTCCAATAAGGTATAAATGTTTTCAAATCCTGTCATGGATAAAATACACAAAATGAGCAAATAATAATGAGCAAATAATAAATGAAGTGCAGACAACATCAGCTCAACAACTCACCATAAAAAGATTCCCAACACCAAATATAAAACAACCCTTTCTAACATCCCTTCTGAAAATATTATCAACTTGAATTTCTTTATTACTGATAAGGTTCCCATTACAGCATCGATGTTGTAATGTAATTAAAATACAATCAGTTAAGTAGACTTAAGCATTCTTTTTTGGTGTTCAAGCATAAAATAAGAAAGACTGTGTAACCGCTGGCACCGTCAGGATCAGCAGGCAAGCGTAGAAACTCCATTGAAAATACTGGGGTAAAATAACCTGTCATATTTTAAAGACATAACAGGGCAAATGGAATTTAATGCAGTGCTTTTTGTCTAATCTGAGACCCACTTTATATTGTATATCTATCAGGCAGTGAAGATTGCTACTTTTTAAAGAAATCAGACCTTAAACGTGGTGAATTCGTAATGGAAAGACAGTTCAATGGAAGCGCTGAGGCTGGCAGGCTGAAATTAAAAATTCGTGTGCATGTAGACCATTATGATTCTTCAATATTGCATTTTAGTGACATTTTAAGCAGTATTTTTTGCTGGATTAGCTCGTTGGATGGTCATCATAACCACACCTGATGTTCCAAAAAGATTTCCTAAAGATTTAGAATAAAGTAATAAGAGTAAATACTTATTTTTAAAATGCACATGTATTACATCATATATTTTTTTAGAAAAAAAAAGGAATCTGTTAAAGTTTTAAATTAAAAACTGTAGCCAATTATCATTTATTAGGCAAATAACAAACTGGCCAACACATTCAACAGTAAGAGTTTGGCTATTTCAATAATAAAAAAATAAATAAAAATAATAATAACTAAATAGAGATTTACAATTTTTCCAGCCTCTATTGTAAAAAAAAAAGAAAGTACATTATAGACCTTATATGATCTATTACTGAACCGATATTAATATTTTGACACCCCTAGTAACGAGTAATGATGCCGCACATAAAAAACTATCATAGTAAAAGTATTAAACTCATTGAAAATCTGTAGGGAAGTAAAAGTGGAAGTAGGAGAAAAATAAACAATACTCCAGTAAAGTACAGATACTGCCTTTTAGTATTTAAGTACAGTAGTGAAGTAGTTCTACTTCGTTAATATACATTTCTGTTAATAAGGTAGTAGTTGGGTTTAGGTATTGGGTAGGTTTAGGGATGTAAAATAAGATCATACATTATGAGTGCTAATAAACAGTTATTATGCAAAACATAGACAGTCAATAAGTCAGTAGCAAATTGTTGCCTAAACTAAAGTGCTAATAATAAATATTCACAGTATTTTATAGTCCAACATTATGCGTGTTCATTATCAGTCTATGTCTATAGGCCTTATACAGATATTTATGTGAATTTGAGATATTTTCACAGTTTTTCCACTAGAGAGAGCCAACATAATTACCACCTCCTAAACTAAAAACACTATCACAAACACAACTTTTATGGGCCAGTAGGGCCTACTGGTAGGCTCAGAAGGCTGTTATCATCCATCCACTTGGTTAATCAGCTATACTAATAGAGAAGACTCCAGATTCAGATATGTTTTACATTACTGTGATAGTTGGGTTTAGGGTTGGGGTGGACATTATTAAATTACAATTAATGGGAAATTTAATAAATAATATAAATAATTCTCATGGTTATTCAGCTATACTAATAGAGAAGACTCCAGATCAGTGTTTACATTACTGTGATGGTTGGGTTTGGGTAGGGGTAGATGTTTATAAAATATGATTAATTGATGGGAAATTGATTAAATAATAAAAATAATTATTGTTATCTTCTGGTCGAAGCCGTATCTGATCTATAGCTGATTAACCATGTGGAAATAAAAGTTAGATCTGAAAACTCTGAATGAAAATGCTACATATAAACATCTCGTTTTAAAATTTAAAACAATGAGTCCAGGCATTCTCTGTATTTTAACTTCAACAAATCTGTTTACATGAGAAAAATAAATATTCAGTTGTTTTTACTAATTAAAAAATTTTCATTATTTTATATAATAGAAAGATTTATAGAAAAAAACACATAAATTATCGCTGCAATAAATGGTGTTCACTCACTTCCTATCCTGATTTATCACAGCAGAATGAACCACCAAATACTCTAGCACAGGGGTTCTCAAACTTTTTCAGCTGAGGGCCCCTTTGTGTAGGGCGAATTCTTTCGGGGAGCCCCAAAAAATAAAAATGACGCCACCCCCTCAAATTAACAACTGTACTTAATTTTTTTTAAATTGTATTATTCAACATATTTATATTATTATATATTATTCAAAAAATTTATATTATTCACTATCTGGATTAATTTTTGTAAGATGTTAGTTGAGTTGACATGGTTTCAGTGCTTCAATCTATTGATCAAATCTTCATGCGCAGTGTTTATTGTGGTCTTCTCTCACTGGATTATTCCATCAAGCCATATTTTGTGTTTGAGTCATCACATTTACACAGTTTTTATGCCATTTTTATGCTTTTTTTTCAGCCTATGCACAGCTAGACTCTTCTGTATTTACCCTTACAGCTGAGAGTCTAAATGTATCTAAAGATTTAAAGCTTTAAAGTTTTAAAGAGTTTTGTCATTCATCAGCCTGTTAACAGTTAACTGTACTGTTGTAACTAGCAATACTACAATAGAGGCTGTAGTGGTTCAGTGTGTTTTGTTTATTTTTATTCCTTTTTTTTGTGCACATCATAATTTACTCAGGTCGACAATCCTGACTTACACTGATAAAAAATAATTCTGAAGAGCGGTGTTGTCGCGCGCCTACTGAAGAGCGGGACCGAGGGTGTGCCGCGTCGCGGGGGCACTTTTGATCATTTTGCAAGGGCACTTTCTATCCAAGACTAAAAAGGGCATGTGCACTGCACAGGTTGAGCACTGTGTGTGCACGTGCCTGGTAAACGCCGTCAGGTGCGGCAGACAAGCGCCAAAAATCACAGGAAGCGGCCGGCCAGAAGCGCTTATTCAATAAAAGTCCCCGTGCACAGAGGCGAGCCACTGCGCTTCTTTTCCTGTTTCACGAAATTGTCAACTGCATTTAAATGACATAAGCATAAAGCTTAATTTTTGCAGTACTTTTGAGCTCAAATTATAATAAAAATATATTAACCTTCAGAATGATGCGGGACACAAAATTCATCCATGTGGGCCCATTGATTACCCCTTATCTAAAAAATTTTTGCGGCCCCCCTAGCGCCATCTGGCGGCCGCCCAGGGGGCCGCGGCCCCCAGTTTGAAAACCCCTGCTCTAGCATATGTTTTATAGGATGCAACCCAGCACTGAGAAAAACTGGTGCTTTAAACTGAAACAATTCAACTTCTACTATTGTATTCTAATAAAGATTCTGAACTAAAATGTGCAAAACAAAGTTTGATGCATATATTTATGCAATAATAATATAATTAATTTATATTATATTTGTACAACCCAATAACCCCATAAAACTAATTCTAAAGCTGTTTTATCTAAATAAAATAAATTAAAGAAATCATTTTTAAGAAATGTAAAGAACTATTTTGCACATCTCTTTAAATATACACCCAAACACTTTGTATTGAAATTTATGTTTTAGTTGTGTTCATATATGAGTACAATATATAACAAAAGTAATACTAAACTGTGTGTGTGTGTGTGTGTGTGTGTGTGTGTGTGTGTGTGTGTGTGTGTGTGTGTGTGTGTGTGTGTGTGTGTGACACTTATGTAAAATATTAACTGTTCCTCAAAGTATTCGTTTAATAAATGGCTGTCTATGATACTGTGATAAATGAGTCGGAAGATAAGATTTAATGATTAAACATGAACAAAGGATCAGGATGCTATTCATCTGATTCTGAAATGAGAAAAGAAACTCTTTTCCTGATGGTTTTAGGATTTAAATGATTAAGTGTCTCCAGATTGTGTGTGAGGTTTCAGCTTAACCGACAGATTAACAAATCTGTTTACACAAGAATATTAAATGTTCAGGTTTATTATTATTATTATTATTATTATTATTATTATTATTATTATTGATGATTGATATGATTTTTTTATTAAATCACTTCATTTTGTTTCACACATTTGTCCATTTCTTCAGGCACCTTATCCACATTATTTCATTTTGACAATGCAATATGACAGGTTTGGGGTCATGTTGCAGATATGTGTATATGTGCTGACCTCTAGCAAATACAATTAAAACTGAAAAAAAGAAAATGATTATTTGGTATCACTTTTTTGATGTTCCCTTTAACACATTTTGTTTAATTTAAGTTGCATTGCATCTACATGCAA